GTTCTGGTTGCAAGCAGACATCATTTTATCCTCAATTTGTAAGAAACATGCCTGAATATTTCTTACATCTTAGGGACAAATATTTGATCCACAGCTTAATATTAACCGATTTTTAAAATGTAGACCCATTGTTCTTGCTTATAATGCTAAATCAGTGGTTCTCAACCTGTGGGTCGGGACCCCATTTGGGGTCGAACGACCATTTCACGGGGGTCACCAAACAACGCACTCCACCATTTTTTTCCCTTTTTCCTTAGCTGTGCTACTCCCTTTTATTCTATTGGCTTTCAAAAGCCAGTAGGAATTGTCCAGGCTGTCTCTGCCCTGCTGAGCCAGCCAAAAGTCCCATTCTGCAAACGGTGCTGCACCAGTTGAGTAGTCCTCGACTTACGACCGGTTGAGTAGTCCTCGACTTACGACCGGTTGGGGGTCGTGGCATTAAAAAGGTTGAGAACCATTGTGCTAAACTGTTATTTTATCTATCAAATTCTTTAGCAGCCATCTATAGTTTAAAAACATATGATTAAGTGCCCAGTGACCTAAATTGTACTTGTTTCAATAGATTTTCTTTTCATAGGAACAATTTTAATTGGGAAGGATGGATAATCCAGTCTAAACATCTGGTTGATTGTGCAATCAACCATAAAATCCCAAATATATCAAAGTTGAAAGATTATGGAATAAATCAGATGGGGAGGTCCAGTGGTTATTGGCATACAGGGTGCCATACCAAAATACCCTGGATAAAATTTAGAAAAACCGATCATTGACAAAATGTCCATCTGTAAATTGCAAAATGCAACCCTGCTTAGATGAGAACATATATTATGCCAATGGGGGAAGAATTCAATGCACGTGAAGGCAAACACCAGCTAAAGAACTGACAGCCATGATTTCACATTTTTGTATATATAATAATAACAAATCAAGACAAAACAATTGAATAAATCAGTTTTCAGTTTGTATTAGTTCTAGGTTTCATCATTCTTAGTTTTACAATGAAAACTTGATGGGAAACCAATTCATTAAACAGAAACCAGAGGACTGTGAAAAAAACACCAATATTATAGATCCTCCAATAACTTGAATCATATTTATATGGAAAAATCTCCAACAGTTATCACTTGGATGCTGAAGAAAGGAGTTATTTATTTATTGATACTGGACTGGTGGAGATTTGAGGAAAATAAAATGTTAGCCCTGAGTTACAAAAGACAAGTGCTAAAAGTAATCATTTTGCACATGCTTATAAAGAGGAAACCTTGCTGAGCACAATGGAACTTGCTTCTGAGTAAACATACAGTTTTGCAAATTAAAGGGAGAAATCGAGTTTTCAGTGAAGAAGACCTGAAAAAAAAAAATTAGAGAGGAGAGGAAGGTAATGGAGAAGATAGTAAAATTCAAATTGAATTAGTACACTATTACAGCAACACCAGGCAGAGCAGGAGAAACTATGCTGAACAGAAGTGTCTGAAACATAGATGGAAGAACAGACCCAGAAATTCAGAACTATAAGGACATACACCCAAAAAGCACTTTTGAAGTGGCCACGATGGAACACTTCCCCACTGCTTCAACAAAACTGCATAGACGATCCAGATAGTCAGACAAGGTAACACTTAAGGTTTTTTTTACCGTTTACACCAGTGTTTCCCAAACTTGACAATTTTAAGGCATGTGGACTTCAACTCCCAGAATTCCACAGCCAGCAATGCTGGCTGTGGAATTCTGGGAGTTGAAGTCCACATGCCTTAAAATTGTCAAGTTTGGGAAACACTGTTTTACACCATTATCTATTTGGCTTCCTGGGGGCTGGGGGTTGTGTTCAAAGCAAGAATAGCTGAGGTTTTATTTATTTGATTTTTATCCTGACTTTATTACTTTATAAGCAACTCAAGGTGGTGAATGTATTTAATACTCTTTCCTCCTCCAATTTTCCCCACAACAACCTTGTGAGGTGAGTTGGGCTAAGAGTGTGACTGGCCCAATGTCGTGCAGTCCGTTTTCATGCCTAAGGTGGGACTAGAACTCACAGCCTCCTGCTGATTGGCCCAAAGTTACTCAGCTAACTTTCATGCGTAAGGCATGACTAGAACTGTTTCCTAACGATTGGCCCAAAGTCTCTCAGCTGGCTTTCATGTCGAAGGTGGGACTAGAATACATAATCTCCTGCCGATTGGCCCAGTCATCCAGCCAGCTTTTGTGCCTAAGGCAGGATTAGAACTCAGTGTCTTATTTCTAGGACTGCACTTTAACCACTAGCCCACCCTGGCTCTTTGGTTCCTTTGACCTCCTTAGTAGGGTGGTTCGCATGGAGGCCACAAAGTTTGGGAGACTTTCTTGATGCCCTTTGCTATCTGAGATACCTTCTCAGTTCACCTGTACACTTTTGTCCACCCTTAACCAACTGCAAGCCTCTCCATGCTTAGATTTAATGTTGATGGATGGAGGAATGTTCCTGGATTCTGACATTCTCTAGCCTTGGATAGGACCAGGAAAAGCTAGTTTCACATCCAGCCTCAACAATGGAAATTTTGAGCCAGTCACTCTCTTTTAGTCTAGTCTACCTCACAGGGTGATTCTTGTGAGGATAAAATAAAGGAAGATTCTCTTGTAGGCCACTTGAGTTCTTAGAAGTAACATAGCGTATCAAAATCATAAATAACACAAAAAACCAAATTGCTATAGCTAAAAGGAAGCATTGGATATTATTATACTTTGGGTTAAAATATTAATCCTGTGGCTCGGAGTGTCACTAACAGCAGCTCCTTCAGAAGAAGCAGCCAATTTATCTGTTTTTTCTTTAAAAAGTGGAGCTAAACCAGCTGAATTGTTCAAGAGGTATGAATTGGAAGTAGTCCCATAATTTGAGATCATTAATTTAAAATAAAAATTATGCACGACTAGATGTTATGAAGAGGATTTACCATTATGAAAAATAATTTGAAGGTTAGAAAATCTGTATTAGTCTAAACTGAACAACTGAAGCCCTTGTTATGATTATTGTTTCAAAAGGTTTCTTTACAAATAGATAGATTTACAGTTGTTCTATAGTTCTTGCTATGTCTACAGCTCTTGCTGAAGATTGGTAAATTAAAAAACCAATGGCTGTTTAATCTAAAATGTTTTCATAAGACCGTAGCATTCTATTATAAATTTAACAAAAATGAAAAACTACAATGAGAATTCAGAAGATGGAGAAAGAAACATGAACACGTGACTTGAAAAACTAAAAACTAGCCATCCAATCTCATGAGCAAAAAATTCTCAAGTTACAGAAAAACCTACAAAACCAGCATAGCAGACATCTCTCCTAAAATTTCAGCTCATGCTGTTTTAATTCCACAGACTTATGTTTTCCTTTAAAATCGTGTTCCTCAATCTTAATAGCATGAACATGTGTGTTCATTTCCCAAAATTCCCCAGGCCGCAAGTTGGCTGGGGAGTTCTGGGAGTTGAAGGTCACACATCTTCAAAGTTGCCAAGAGTGAGAAACACTGCTTTAAAAAGAGCCAAGTCGACTTTGGAGTCTGAAACTCGTATCCAGATTATCAAGTCATCTTGGGCTGAAATCAATGTTCGTCCAAGATCACTCATCCCTTTCTGGAAAATTAAAAAAACTCCTAACATTGGCAATGCTTCCTGTGATCGGAATGACTATACCAGTATTATTATTTTTTTAAAGACCCACTATGTTCATCAGCTTGTAATTACAAATTCTGACTGCTGTACATTTGGATCCAAGGGAGACACCCAAATCTTTGCAACTGTCTGGGCTAAGCCAACCATCATTTATTGGATTATCATCTCTACAATATGAGACCAACAAAATAGAAAGACTGAAATATTCAGAACTTCATCAAGGAGATAAATTTTAAATGCTGCCTAGAGCTACCCCTTTCAGCAAACATTCAAAATCCTTTGCCACATAAAGTTTTATTCCAAAGAACAGAAATCTATGGTGTAGCACAGGGGTAGGCAACCTTGGCTCTTTTATGACTCGTGAACTTCAACTCCCAGAATTCCTGAGCCAGATTGGCTGGCTCAGGAATTCTGGGAGTTGAAGTTTACGAGTCATAAAAGAACCAAGGTTGCCTACCCCTGGTGTAGCAGATGTATTTACTTATTAAATTTATATACTGCCCATCATGATGCAGTATCTGAGCATGCTGATTCAAGGATACTATCTGGTGGCGTGGGAGTAGCAACATAATCTTTGTTGGAGGAAGGCTGCAAGTGGAAACCTCTAAATTGCCATCAGATGTGCAATAAAAAAAAACCTGACCAATGCAGGATGCAGAATAAGCCATGGGAAATTCAGAAGCTCATCAATGACAGGAAAGCCACCATTTGGTGAGAAGGCAGAATTTCCACTTGATCAAAAAGTCTTTCTTCATGATTTTCAGAAAAATCTCTTTGCAGTGGGGTAAGTTTTTCTGGAAAACGCTAAAATATGCCAGAGAAAGAGACGGATTCTGAAAAAAAAAACCTTGTTTTCCTTTTCTATCAACTTTTTTCACACCCCCATACCAGGGTTTTCATGGATTTCAATTCCCAGGATTTAATTCTGTGAGTTGAAATCCACACACCTTAAAGTTGCCAAGTTCAAAAAAACACTGATCTAAACTGATCATAAATCACAATTCAAGTCATTTCAGCTGCCATTCACCAATTAGATGACAGAAATTTCAGTTCACATCGTTCTTGAGGTTTTTTTGCCTTGGAAAGAAAGAAAGAAAGAAAGAAAGAAAGAAAGAAAGAAAGAAAGAAAGAAAGAAAGAAAGAAAGAAAGAAAGAAAGAAAGAAAGAAAGAAAGAAAGAAAGAAAGAAAGAAAGAAAGAAAGAAAGAAAGAAAGAAAGGGAAAGGAAGGAAAGAAAGAAAGAAAGAAAGAAAGAAAGAAAGAAAGAAAGAAAGAAAGAAAGAAAGAAAGAAAGAAAGAAAGAAAGAAAGAAAGATGAGGGAGGGAGGGAGGGAGGGAGGGAGGGAGGGAGGGAAGGAAGGAAGGAAGGAAGGAAGGAAGGAAGGAAGGAAGGAAGGAAAAAAAAATATTTGGACGGGACAATTTGCTCTGTTTTGTGGATAGAGAAGTACTGTAAGGTTTCTCATCTTGCACATCTGCCAAACAACATATTCTCTTTCTGTCTGTTTCATCCCCACACCCCACCCACAGAGTAATGTCTGTGTCTTCTTCAGAAGCAACCTTCCCCAATCTGGTGCTCTCTAGGGCTATGACTCCCGTAGTTCCTAGCTGGCAACTCTCCTCTGATTGAGACTTCAAAGACCACAACTGCATCAAAGGGCCCCCACCTCAATAGACCCTGTGCACCCACCAGGAAGGAAAGCATCAACATGGCCAATACTACAAGTCATATTGACATGACCTGCCATTCTAAAGCATCAAGGTTTCTCCACCGTGTGGTTCTGGAGATGATGCAGCAAAAGTGAACTGTTTCTGGAAATCTTCCTGGGCTCAGAACGCACAAAGTATCTGCCTTTATCTGGTCGTATGTGGTGCTGGGCAAACACACCACCAGAGCAGGGAGATTTACCCAAGTCAAGATTGAAGTAGGATTCTGTGGTCTCTAAGGCATCAGCCAAGGTTTGCTTCCCATCCACTCCAGGGTCTTTGGGCCGCAGCAACGTGCTCCTTTCAGAGATATAGTTCTCTCCCTGCAAAAGGATGGCTGAGATCCCTGTGAAGTTCTCCCCAAGTTCTGGGCTCTCCCTGTCTTTGCTACAGTTCTGTTTTGGGGATGGTGGATTATGGGCCCCTCTGTCTTTCTCCACCGTGTGGTCCATCTGGTGCTGGATCAGAGCCCACCTTTCTGGGAAGCCCTGCCCACATTCAGGGCCCTTCAGCAAACGTTCCTTCACGTGGCCGATCTGGTGATGAGACAACTCGGCCACAGTGGCAAAACTCTGCTCGCACTCATGACACTTGTAGGGTTTGGTGCTCAACTGCTGGATGAGGGCGGTCATTTCGGTGGATACCGGAGAAGACTTGTCTAGGATGCTAGTCCTTTGAGGGATCTGAGCATGGACAGAGCTTTCTTTGAAAGAAGAAACATCTAAGGGACTCTTGGATCTACAGCCCTCCTGTGGCTTCAAGCAGGACTTGTCTTCTTGTAAGGAAGGAGATGAATGGCTCTCTAGCAGCCCACCAGAAGGTCCCATGGGGATTCTCTGAGGTTTGTTGTTGGAAGTGTTGTCATCCTGGTTGGTTCCTGAGGAGCCACAGAACAGCTGACCTTCCAGTGGTTTTCCCTGATTGACCCTAGAGAGAGCACTTTCTCTGGAAGTCTCTTCTTCTGGGAAGACTTCCTGAGGCTCAGTAAGAGCTGTATCAGAAAACTCCTCAGTCCAATTCTTCTGACGCACAGCGACATCTAATTCAGGACTAGAAGTTTCTTTGGGTTGAAGACACTTGTGTGCTTTGTCCCCCAGCTGCCTCTCCTGGTGGAGCATCTGGGCTGAGGTGTCCCACAAGGCCTGACCACACTCCGTACACTGATCCAGCTTCCCACACTTCTGCTCCCTCTGGTGGCAAGTCAGGGCCAACGGATCTCCAAAATCCTGCTCACACTCAGAACATTGGTACAATTTCCCCTGCCTGGGGGTGAGCTCACCATGCCCATGTTCAGAGCAGACAAGAGGTCCCCTGTGACTCTGCTGGTGACTCCCTAGGATTGAAATGTCCTTGCAGCTTTTTCCACATTCAAGACGGACCCAAGCTCCCTGTGCTTCCTCTGGTTCCACGGGAAGATTCCCCGCAACCTTGGAATTGATGCATGGCAGGACTTTGAGGGATCCTTGGACCAATGCACGTTTCACATTTTCCTTGCCCTTCCTGCTTCTTTCATGCTGCCCATCCCTCTTGCGGTCAACCAGTTTTGCCCTACACGCCCTACTGATTGGCAGCGAATGGGCTTCTTCATGCTCAACCAGAGCCACACTGTCCCTGCACTCCTGCCCACATGTGCCACATATCCAAGATTCGTGGTCCTCCTGATGGCAAGCCAAGGTTCCAGCATCATCAAAGCTCCTCCCACACTCGGTGCAGATGTAAGAAGTGTGGCTCTCTTCGTGCTGTGCTAACACTTCCGCATCTTGGAAGCTCTGCCCGCAAATATTACAAAGATGAACAACATGGCGGCTCTGATGCTGCTCCACTCCTCCAGCATCTTTGCAGTCCAGACGGCACGTGGCACACATTGCGCTGCTGTCCTGAGAGAGTGTTTGCAGGTGGGCATCCTCCTCAGGGCTGCTGACATACAAGTCCTCCACGGGGAAAACGCTGCTGTCTGGTTCTTTGGCATCTCTTTTCTCCTTGCACTTTCCACTCCCTTCCTGCTGGTGGCGCTGCAGTTCCTCCTCCAGGGCAAAGCGCTGCCCGCAGCCATGGCAGACGTGGGGCCGTTCCTCCATGTGGATGCGCTGGTGGGTGATGAGGTTGGAGCTTTGGGAGAAACGCCGCCCGCATTCCTCACAATGGTACGGCCGTTCGCCCGTGTGCGTTCGGCGGTGCTGGGTGAGGTGCGAGCTTCGGACAAAGGCCTTCCCACAGTCCAAACATGCGTACGGCTTTTCCCCCGTGTGGATGCGCTGGTGGCGGATGAGGGTGGAGCTCATGCCAAAGCACTTCCCGCAATCGGCACAGCGATAGGGCTTCTCGCCCCGGTGTATACGAGAATGCAGCGTAAGATTGGAGGCTAAGGAGAAACTCTGACCGCATTCTCCGCAAGCGTATGGGCGGCTTTCGCTATGGCACCGCCGGTGGCGCTCCAGTGCGGAGCTGAGTCCAAAGGTTTTCCCACAGTCTGCACAGCGATAGGGCTCCACCCCCATGTGAAGCCGCTGGTGCTTGACCAGGGTGGCACCGTGGCCAAAGCGTTTGCCGCATTCCTGGCACTGGTAAGGCTTCTCCCCCGAGTGGGTCCGCTGGTGCTGGATAAGCTCCGAGCTCTGGATGAAGGTCTTGCCACAGTCGTTGCAACGGAAGGGTTTCTCTCCGGCATGGATCTTACGATGTTTAACCAGGTTGGCGCTCTGGGTGAATCCTTTCCCGCACTCTTCACACTTGAAGGGGCGTTCACCAGTGTGTGTGATCTGGTGTTGAATGAGATCAGAGGAGCGGTAGAAGCTTTTGGGGCACTCGGGACAACAGTAGGGCTTCTCGCCGGTGTGGCTGCGTTGATGCTTGATGAGGTTAGTGCTCTGCGAGAATGCCTTGCCGCATTCCCGGCAGACGTACGGCTTCTCTCCGGTGTGGGTGCGCTGATGCTGGGCTAGGTTGGAGCTCCAGGAAAAGGCCTTGCCACAGTCCTGGCAGACGTAAGGCTTTTCGCCAGTGTGTGTCCGTCGGTGCTGAACCAGGTGGGAGCTCTGAGTAAAGGACTTTCCGCAGTCTGTACATGTGTTGGGACGCTCGCCTGTGTGGATACGCCTGTGGCGCACTAGTTTGGACCACTGGCTGAATGCCTTCCCACATTCGCTGCAGGGGTAAGGGCGCTCTCCCTTCCCTCGGGACAGAGGGGATACATCGACTGCAGGCGTGTCGTCCTGTTCCATGTGGCTGCTGGGCTCAACGCACAGCACAATCTCCCCTTCCTCTTCTTTCGGGGGCAATGCTATAATCCACCGCCTGGGGAAATGTAAAGACAAGACCAGAGAAAAATCAGAAAAAGAGCAGTTTCAACAAATTTAGCACTGAGGAATGTCTAACTTTTCCATGTCCGCCTTTGCGTCATCCGGAAGACAAGTTGACTCTCTTCTCCCACTAACATGATGCCAGAGTGAGGACTTTCTATAGCAGAAGACTCTGCCTTGAATAGTCAAGCTACCGGTTCAGCAATATCTATAAAAAGCCATAATGATAACAGGACAATGACTGGTGCCATGGTGTCATTTCACAAAGGATACAGATTTTGTAATTGTGTCATCACGAAACTGGTACATGAGGTATGTCCTTTGCAAAATGACATCATGGCACATGTCATAATTTCCTCAAGTAATCTAGATACCCAACTATTGGGTATTAGTCCTTCTAGATCAGGGGCAGGAAACTATACTTTTATGGACTTCAACTCCCAGAATTCCTGAGCAGCCATGCTGGCTCAGGAATTCTGGGAGTTGAAGTCCACAAGTCATAAAGGGGCCATGGTTCCCCACCTCTGTTCTAGACCAATAGAATGATTCTTCTAAATCAGTGTTTCACAACCTTGACAACTTGAAAAGATGTGGACTTCAATTCCCAGAATTCCCAGGTGGTTGTGGGAGTTAAAACCCACATATCTTCATGCCGCCAAATTTGAGAAACACTGATCTGAACACTTACAAGGCAGGAGAGGACAAAGGCAGAGCCAGTTGGTATCCAAACACTTCCTTCAAGATCCGTATGATTCCCTGTCATCTCTCCTGCATTTTTTAAAAGACGATTTTAATTTTTAGAAAATAAAATATGAAACTGGTTATATTGCCAAGTAAATCACTGGACTTGACCATCAGATTCATTTACAGAAATGCCCTATTATAGGATAGAAAATATCCAGGACTACTCCACCTTTTGGTAAATAGGAACCTTACATCTTACAGTGACAATCAGGGTGGCCATTTTATGAACAGGTAAAAACTTCCACAGCAACCATTGTCTTTCGGTAGCCACCATCCACACACTTAAAATTCCAAATATGCTCTAACTCCCCAAAGTTGCCTCTGTATTCTGTTATTGTATTAGAGCAGGGGTGTCCAACTTTGATTCTGTTAAGACTTGTGGACTTCAACTCCCAGAATTCCCCAGCCAATATGGCTGGCTACGGAATTCTGGGAATTGAAGTCCACAAATCTTAAAGTAGTCAGGGTTGGACACCCATGTTAGAGTGACCATTAACTAAATATCCAAAACCAAATTGTATTTGGATCCGCTGCTCTTGAAGAACCAGACTTTCAAGGCCACATAAAACACTCAACTCAGTGCTTGTGTCTCATTTTAATAGACTGAAGCTACTCTCTCATCCCAGATTCAGCTCTTTCTCATCTTCTGTTGCAATCTCTTCCAGCTTTATTTCAAGATCTCTTTCTCTCTCTCTCTCTCTCTCTCTCTCACACACACACACACACACCACCAAGTCTCTTTCCTTCCTACCTGCATAGGGGATTCTTAGGGATTCTTCTGCTTCCAAACTTCCAAGATCAGTCAAGTCTACTTTGTTCCTTCCTTCTGAGATCCTGGGCAAGAAGCAATTTCTAGAGGCACTGGAAACACAAAAGCAAAATGGTGAACTTGAAACTTAGCAAGAAAACTGAAAAATACGCTAACAATTGGTCTGTGCTCTTGAGAGGAGATCAGCAAGAATAGAAAATTAAAAGTCTGCATGGGTTTCCTTCCTACTGCAACAAAATCTGGGTGGGTGAGGAAAAGAGGGACTTGGTTTTATTATTTATTTAATGCATTTCCATAATACTTCTCTTGAAAACTGTAATCTCAAAGCAGCTTCCAAAATGAAAATAAAACATGGCAAAACAATACAAAAACCTCTCAATTAAAAAGGTGCAAAACAGAGCCATTCATTTAACATTCATCAAGGGGATAAGGTCTTCTTAGAATCATAGAATTCTTTATTGGCCAAGTGTGATGGGGACACACAAGGAATTTCTCTCCGGTGCATAAGCTCATAGTGTACATATAAACAGCAAGTAATAGATCATAGATTATAATAAACAACAATTCATAAATCACAAGAAACCAATAGGAGAAGATGAGAGGATGAGAAATGAGACGGTGCTGTGGGAATTAAGTGTTCAGCAGAATGATGGCACGGGGGGGGGGGGAATATCTTCGTATCTAGTAGTTCTGGCATGCAATGCCCTACAGCAGCAGCCCGAGGGGAGAAATTGAAATAGATTACGTCCAGGATGCAAGGGGTCTGTAGATATTTACTCGGCCCTCTTTCTGGTTAATGCAGTCTACAAATCCTCAGTGGGGTCTTTCATCAGGGGGTCTCTTCCTTTCAGTTCCCCTGCAGAGGTTTCTCGTTGGAAGAATCCACACAGAGTTACATGCAGTTTGAAAATATTGTCAATTGTCTATCTCTGTATGTAGCATCTCTTGATGTCACAAGAACATAACGAGGTGGTGGCGAACCTGTGGCACGCGTGCCAGAGGTGGCACTCAGAGCCCTCTCTGTGGGCACACGCGCTGCGGCCACCAGCTGTTCACGCAAGTCCATTAGGCCACCGCCCAGACCTACAGGCCTGCCCAGCATGAAGGAGGCGAAGTGGTCAGCTAGGAAGCCCCGCATAAAGATGGTAGAGCACACCCAGGGCCAGCAGGCAAAAGGCCACCCTGAGAGGGAAAGTTGGATCCCCATCGACATCATGGCCGCCCAGGCCCAGCAGAGATGGGGAGGAGGCACACAATCCTAGTTGGGGCAGGGGGGTCATGGCGCCGGCTTTCCCCGCTGTGGGTGGCCTTTGGTTTGCTGGGTATGGGCGTGCTCTACCACCTGTATTCAAGCTTGCTAGCCGGCCATTTTGCCTCCTTTGTGCTGGGCGGGGCTGCTGCTCTGAGTGGTGGCGGCAGCCTAATGGACCTGCACGAGCTGTTGACGGCGGCTGCCTGAGGCGGGGCCAAGGTGTGTTGGGTGTGCGAGAGGAACAGGTTCCACGCGTGGACCAAGGGCAAGATCTGCGAGGGGCCGAGATGACCAGCAGCAACTTGGTCTCCAACCGCAAGCAAAAACAGATGGGACGGAGTAGGCGTGTCTGGCGGTCTACATGTGCCTCGCCCCTTCCCTACTCCGCCTGGTGCTGGAAGACTGGCCCAGTATTGGCAGCAAGCTGCAGAGCCCCAGAATGCACTGCTCAAGGGACCAGCAGGCTGTGGCTGCTGATGGACACTTTCGGCCCCTATACTTGCTGTCCTTTGTCTGTGGGGATCAATGGTGTCACGCAGCATCCACTCCGGCTCCTACCTCACCTTGTCTTGCCTAATAGCAATGGCACCCCACTCTGCCCCACCTCACCCCACAGGACTAGCCTCCTGCCCACCCCCCTGGATCTCCCCCAACCCTGCCTGGCCCCCATAGCCATCCCCCCCACAAGCAACATCGAGATGGCCACGCTCAGCCTGGCCACGCCCATCTAGTGGCCATGCTCACCCCCCCCCCTGACGGCACCACAACGCTGATGCGGCCCTGGCATTTTATGATAAATAAATGGGTTTTAGGTTGCAGTTTGGGCACTTGGCCTCTAAAAGGTTTGCCATCACTGACATAACCCCTCCAGGCAGAAATTCACCAAAGGTGGGTCCAGACATGGAGGGTGGCAGGTGAGAAACAACTTAGGAAAGTTGACACCTGGGGGAAAAAAACACAAGGCAGGTTTGTGAAGGCAAAGGGGGAGCAAGAGCAATCCTTGCTCTTTGCGGGGCTGCAAATTTTGAAAACTCCTGTGACGTGCAGATGAAAATGCAACGATTAGAAGCAGTACATTTACAGATAGTTTTTGACTTACAACCATTTGAAGCAGTGACATTTGAAGTAACAACGGCACTGAAAACGGTGACGTATGACCATTTTTCACATTAACGACCCTTGCAGCATCCCTATTAATCATGGTACTTGGGCTACATGCATTTTCTTAATCTAATTCTATTTTATTCTTTTCCTTTACCTCGGGGGTCCCCAACCTTGTCAACTTTAAGACCTGTGGACTTCAACTCCCAGAATTCCCCAGCCAGCCACGCTGGCTGGGGAATTCTGGGAATTGAAGTCCAGAGGTCTTAAAATTGCCAAGGTTGGGGACCCCTACTTTACCCCAACCTCTCCCCTCCCTTCAACACACTATCTTCCAAGTTAGCAAGATTTAGCAGCCCAATACCCCTTTTTTAAAAAATAAAAAAAAAAGTCTCCCCGAGACCAAGCTGCGAATCAACAGAAGGCTGAACCTCAATTGTTCTAACTCAGGGGTTCTCAACCTTTTTAATGCCGCGACCCCCAACCGGTCGTAAGTCGAGGACTACTCAACCGGTCGTAAGTTGAGGACTACTCAACCGGTGCACCACCATTTGCAGAATGGGACTTTTGGCGGGCTCAGCAGGGCAGAGACAGCCTGGACAATTCCTATTGGCTTTTGAAAGCCAATAGAATTAGACTCTATTCAAGAGAGTCTATTCTATTGGCTTTCAAAAGCCAATAGAATAAAAGGGAGTAGCACAGCTAAGGAAAAGGGGGGAAAAAATGGCGGACTGCGTTGTTTGGCGACCCCCGTGAAATGGTCGTTCGACCCCAAATGGGGTCCCGACCCACAGGTTGAGAACCACTGTTCTAACCCTACTAAAGGTGGTCCTCAACTTAACAACTATTGGTTTAGTGACCATTCCAAGTTACAACGGCACTGAAAAAAAGTGACGGTTTTTCACACTTAGGGTGACCGTTGCAGTGTCCCCGTGGTCACGTGATCAAAATTTGGATGCTTGGAACTAGCTCCTATTTATGACACTTCCAGTGTCCCGGAATCATATCACTTTTTGTGACCTTCGGACAAGCAAAGTCAGTGGGGAATCCAGATTCACTTAATAACCAGTTACTAACTTAGTAAGTGCAGTAATTCAGTTAATAACCAAGGTACGAAATGTCGTAAAAT